CCTTCTGGTTAGCAGTCAAGTGCCTTAGGCACTATGCTACCAGAGCTCCTCTAGAGTAATTTAGGAAAACCAATTGAATACAAAGGACAAAATGACAAAATAAATAAAAAATTAGAAGCTGTACAAAATAAACAGAAATCTAAAAGATTAATACCATGATTTCAGAAATAGATAACACACTGAGGGCAAAGGAGTAGAAATAAATCAATGGAAGACAGACTTAGGGAGATAGAAGACAAATAGTACTATCAATATTACTTTAAGGGACAAATCAGAAAAAAGATGAAAACAAAATGAAGAAAGCCTAAGATTCATGTGGGATACCATCAAGAGGAATAACTTACATGTGACTGTAACTCCAAAACAGGAAGAGACAAGTAAAACTACAGAGAAAATTGTCAAAGATTAGACAGAAGAGAAGAGAATCTCCCTAATACGATGAAAGATGAGAAGGTGTCTATTCAAGAAGTTCAATGAACTCCAAACAGAATAGATCCCAAAAGAAAATCACTGAGACATATCATAATCAAATGCACCAAAGTCAAAGACAAAGAGAAAGCAGCATAGGAAAACGAAAAGTAGCCTACAAAGGGCAATCCATAAGACTAATCTCTGATTTCTTGGCAGAAACCATGCAGGTGAGAAGGCAGTGAGATGACATATAAAAAACTCTGAAAGAAAAAAGTTGCCAACCAAAAATTATATACCCAACAAAACTGTCCCTCAAATATAACTGTGAAATTAGGACATTTCCAGATAAATAGAAATTAAGAGAATTTGTTAAAATCAGACCAACTTTACAACAGATGCTAAAAAAAGGATTCCTTTACCTAGAGGACCAACAGCAGACAACAAGCAATGATTAATACACATGGTGACATCATCCCAGAAACCAACCCACTTATAGAAGTATCCAAAGTAAAATAAGCTTATTGGACTATAAACAGAGAACCAGAGAAAATTAATTGGTAAATGAGGACAACTATAAACCAAAGACAGGGAATAAATAGTGCTGTTACAGAACTTGCAAATGGAGAGGAAATCAAGACAATTACGAGATAGAACAGACTGTTCTAAACTTCAGAAGAAAATAATAAACCACAGGGTAATTGCTAAGAAAAATAATAAAACTCTCCATCAAAATAAAAAAGAGGAGAGGTATAAATATTTAGCAAATACTAAAA